AATGGAATTGCCTTTTGGTTACTTCTCGCATTGTGTTCAAAAGTTAATTCAACAGGGACACTTACCAAAACAAATACTAAAAGGTAAATTTCAACTTTTTGAAAAACTACGGAATGCTAAAATTCAAACCCCAAACTCAAAAGAGGGTCTCGGATTTGGTACAGTCAGACCAATCAATGATTCTTAATTTTGCATGGTTGTTACTGGTGAGTCAGAACAGGATTGCCTCAATGTAGAGTATGACTCTAATGATCACCAATAGAAGATGCCCTTCCAGAATTCGAGGAGGAAATTAAATCTATTATTGATGAATTGAAAGAGATTAACCTCCGAAATGAAGAACGACCCCGACCTACATTTATAAGTTCTCTACTTAATGATGAAGAATCTGTAAAATTAATCAAACTAATAACAAAATTCAAAGATTGCTTCACCTTGAGCTACGATGAAATGTCAGGACTATCAGCAAAGGTTGCAGTCCATAAACTTGGGGTGGACAAGAATATAACCCCAGTAAAACAAGTTTTCAGGAGAATGCCCCTCAAAATAGAACAACAAGTTATCGCCGAGGTGAAGAAATTGATAGACGCCAACTTTGTTAAAGAAGAACAATACCCCATGTGGTTAGCCAACATCGTACCTGTTAAGAAGAAAAATGGACAGATCTGTGTTTGTGTCAATGTATCTGTGTTTGTGTCAACTTCAGAGATTTGAACAAGGTATGACCAAAAGACGAGTTTCCACTACCTATACCGGAGATGATGGTGGACATGCTTCAACACACAAAATTTTCTCTTTCAAACACATGAAATCATGAAATTTTCTCCTTCATGGACGGATCATCGGATATAAACAAATTAAGATGACTCCCAAGGATGCAGCACTTACAGCCTTCAGAACACCGATTAGAATTTTCTGCTACACAGTGATATCGTTCGGCCTAAAGAATGCCGGAGCAACATATCGGCGTGCAATGACAAAGATTTTTTACGACCTCATTCACAACCAAGTAGAATGTTATGTGGATGATTTGGTCATCAAAAGAAAATGGAAAATAGACCATTTGTACAATTTGAGGATTGTGTTTGAATGGTTATGACGATATGGCATTAAAATGAATCCCTTAAAGTGCGCCTTTGGCGTTACCTCTAGAAAATTTTTGGGATTCGTTGTCCATCATCAGGGGATCGAGATCGACCCGGATAAGATTAAAGCTATCTTGAAAATGCCTCTCCATAAAACCTTGAAACAACTACGTTCCTTCCAAGGGAAGTTGGCATATCTAAGACAATTTATTTCTAATCTCTCAGGTAGGTGTCACCCTTTCTCGACATTAATTAAAAAGGACGCCAAATTTATTTGGGAAGAGAGATGCCAGCGGGCTTTCGAGGACGTTAAACAATATTTAATGACACCTCCTATCTTGGCATCCCCTATCCCAGGGAAATTGTTGATACTTTATACCGCGGCTTTAGATGACTCTCTTAGAGCCCTCTAAGCCCAAGTCAATGAGGAGGGTAAGGAAAATGTGCTCTACTACTTGAGTCGTCACCTAATACCGACGGAGATAAGGTATCCACCTATTGAGAAACATTGTCTAGCTTTAATTTTTACCGCCCAAAAGCTTAGACATTACATGCTTTATCATAAGATTGCCCTAATCTCAAAAGTTAATCCATTTCAATATTTGATGACCCGACCAACACTCTCTTGATGTCTAGCAAAGTTCAATGATCTTATTGCAATTTGATATAACTTTTGTTCCCCTTCGTGCTATCAAGGGACAGATACTAGCAGACTTTCTCACTACACACGCACTGCCAGCTGGGTCCTCTCTCAACAACGAGTTACCAGACGAGCAAATATTATAAATGGAATTATCCTGTGCACAACATTGGGAGATGTACTTCGATGGTGCTTCGTCAGCCAGAAAAGACAAAGGATCAGGCACAGTTATACCAGGCAATGTAGGGATTGGTTTGATCTTTATCACGCCAGATAAGGGTATGATGAGGTTCTCATACCACTTGACATAGCCGTGCACCAACAATGAAGCAGAATATGAAGCCTTGATCACCGGATTGGAAATGGCAATCTCAATGGATATAATAAACATTGCCATATTTGGCGAATCCCAACTCGTCATTCAGCAAGTCTTCGGACAATACAAAATTTTGAAACCTAGATTAGCAGAATACCATCAGTACACGATGAAGCTCCTGGAGCAAATTCCTGATGTAACTTTCTACAGGATCCCTAGGGGAGATAATGCCCATGCCGACGCTTTAGCAAAACTTGCTAAGGAAATGGTGTGTCCCCCGGAGGATTCCATTGAAGTCACAGTGCAAGGAAGACGAGTCTTGTCTCAGATCAACTTCGAAACTCTACACAAGCTTGGAAAAGAAGAAATAATAAATACAGTTGCAGACATCAACGAAGATTGGCGCAAGCCATTAATAGAATATTTACATACTGGAAAGCTGTCAGAAGATAAGTCTGAGGTGCACCACATCACAAGAAGGGCTATGTCTTATGCCCTGATGGGAAATGTTCTCTACAGAAGATCATTTGACCAGATGTGGCTACGGTGTTTCAGCAGAGCCGAAGCACAGAATATTGTCAAAGAGGTACATGTCGGATTGTGTGAAGCTCACCAGTCAGGGCCAAAATGAAAATAAAGATCAAAAGACTCAGGTATTATTGGGCAGCAATGATGTCCGTTTGCATGGATACATTGAGAAGATGTCACCAATGTCAAGTGCATGGGGTGGTCTTACACCAGCCTCCAAATGTGCTACACCCAATTGTTGCCTCATAGCCATTCGAGTGTTGGGGTACGGACATAATAGGTCTGATAGACCCTCCATCTTCCAAAGGACACAGGTTTATACTTACCGCTATAGATTGTTTCCCCAAATGAGCAGAGGTTGTACTGTTACGTGAGGTTACAACACAACACGTCCTTTAAATTTTCAAAAGCCAAATCGTCCAGCGTTTCAGAGTACTGCAAAGAATAATTTCCGACAATGGGACAACTTTCAGAAGTACAAATATCAACAATTTCATTAAAAGACATAGGATAGATTGGAGATACTCCACGAGTTATTATCCCAGAAAAAATGGTCTAGCTGAAGCTTTCAACAAAACACTGGTATATATTTTGAAGAAAACACTGGATGAAAATAAAAGGGATTGGCACAACAAGTTGTTACAAGCTTTGTGGGCCTACCAGACAACGTTCAGAACTCCCACTCAGTGCACACCTTATATGCTCGTGTATGGGTCTGAGGTCGTGCTACCGCTAGAAATCCAGACACCATCTCTCAGAGTCACCATTGCCAACCAACTCATAACGGAAGAAAGTGCAAAACTTAGACTTGTAGAACTGGAGAGTCTCGAGGGAAAACGACTAGAAGCACAACAGCATTTGGAGCTTTATTAGGCAAAGATGGAACAAAACCATGACAAATTGGTCCGCCCAAGGACATTCAAAGTTGGTGACCTCATACTTGTGCTCAAAAGGCCTATTCTTGCACGCCGCAAAATAAGTGGGAAATTTGAGCCAACTTGGGAGGGACCATTTGTCGTTGAAAAGGTCTACACAGGAGGAGCCTACCAATTAGTGGACTTCCAGGATGAAAGACCCAGGTTTCCAATAAACGGATGATATCTGTAAACTTATTACGCAACCTGATGTCGTTTACCTTTGCTTGCTTTGAAACTTTGAAACTTTGATTGCTTTGGGGTTATCTATGTGGTCAAATGTCTATGACCGGGTCCGAATTTTGTAATTAACCTCAATATAATGAAAATTTTGAGAAAAAATTTTTAAAATTCAAATTTTCTTCTTTCCACTTTTGAGTATAATGTTCCACTAAATTAAACAAAACTCATACATAAAATAAACAATTTGTTTCACCAAAAAAAAACTGAAATTTACTTTAATAAGTACTTTGTTTTGTTCTTGTTCATGCCAAACTTCGGCCCACTACAAGGTTTGGCCCACTGACGTTTTTCCTGTCTTCTGCAAAAAAATGTTGGGACAGAGGCTAATCTTTGCTTTTCATAAGGGTTGGAGCCTCACACTAAATGAGGAGATGGCGCCACAGGGTGGTATAATTGACTTCAACATGGATTTTAACCAGGTTGACATGGAATACGAAGGTCCTCTCATGGACATAGTTAGTAGAAAAGAGAAAGTGGGATTGCCTTCACTACTGAGAGTGACCGCTAAAGATAATGTATCACGCAAAGGCAAGAACGTGATAGCAGAGCAAGATCCGATGGAAGGGCCCAGTCGTCTGCGTCTGATGGTAGCTACACCAGCTTCAATGGTAGCTACACCAGCTGGAGGCTTAATAGCTGTCAATGACGAACGACTGCCAAGTACATCACTTTGCAGGACGCAATGCAAGAACGCCAGCCACAAGAAGCAGAGAACTTTTCTACGACAACAATGTAGACGTCAAGAGATAAACAACTTGCTCACCCCTATTCTTGAGAGGCACATTTATGATCCAGACATGAAAGAAACTTTTGCTAGCCTACCCACCACGAATGAAGAACCAAGGTTTGTAACAGAGTCAGACACACTTTCAGTTTCAGATGTTTTGTACAAGGGTTTCCTGACGTGTAACGTTGAAATACCTGTCGAGACATCAACCACAGGCGCGTTTGTAGAATGCCCAGATTGCTATGTTATACATTTAGAGCGTTTCAAAATAATGGAAGATTACACCTCAAGCACTAATGGATCTCGGACTTTAGATTTTATCATGGATGAGCCATATGTCTCATTGGGGACAGATCGGTATGTACCGTGGAGCCCAGGGTCGTACATCTTGCTAGAGGCCGAGTCTCATGCTCCAGATCAACCAGCACCAGTTTGGGTTCCTGCCAATGCTCGAAGGGATGAACGCCCGCGATAGCTGCCAATCCCTGGTATGATAGAGTACTACAAGATAAGTAAAGTAAATAAAAGAGAATTCGAGTTTTATGAAGAAGTTCAGGGAAAGTTCATCAATATACTGGAAGGCCTGGAGCTGTATACCAGGGTTTTTTCAGAAAGTGATGAAAGAAGCATTCTATACTGTATCTTTGATTTAAGAGATAGAGGTCGAGCGGGCCTTCTCATGGAAAGGGCATATTCTGAGCCAAAGAAATGGATGAGAGGAAAGGGAAGAATCACCATCCAATGCGGCTGTTGTTATAACTTCACAAATGACAGACAGGGGAATCCGCCTGGGATCCTCAGACGAGACCAAGTAGATCCACTACCGTCAATGATAAAGTGGATGATCAAAAGAATGGTCAAATGGAATATTCTACCTGCAAATTGCATTCCCAATAGTTGCATTATCAATATCTATGAAGAGGGTGATTGCATTCCCCCACACATTGATCATCATGATTTTGTGAGGCCCTTCTGCATGGTCTCTTTCCTGAGCAAAAGCAATACTTTATTTGGAAAAGAAATCAGGATCGTCGGCCCTGGTGAGTTCAGAGGTTCTATGGAGATTCCTCTGTCAGTCGGTTCAGTACTCGTTCTTAAAGGAAACGGTGTAGTCGTTGCCAAACATTGCATTCGAGGGGTACGACACCGTAGGGTGTCTGTGACTTTCTGCAGGATGGATGACAGCAAAATGCCATATGGATTTCAGCCCGACCCGGAACTGGAAGAGCTACTGTCGTACAAGCTATGATAGGGTTGTACCTCTAAGTACATGCAAAGGGAACTCTTATCCTGGAGCATGACTTAGAAGGTCTGCTTGATCAAGAGCTCATCATACGATGGGCATAGGGTTTACTCTTTTTTTAGCAACATGATATGTATTTGATATATTCAACCTACAATGTATTCATATCATGAGATGTCCTGAATGTATTTTTGACATGGACTATATATTGTACCTTTTGAGGCGTTAGCCTATGTTCGATCTGTGACATCTTTTAGAGAAGCAGGTTAATGAAAATTTTTTCTCAGGAATGTGCATTTTTGTTAGTTGCCTTTTTGTGCGATGGATGAAAGTCACCAACCACACGTTGGTTCAGAATTTCAATGAACAAAGAACGAAACAACAAATCTTTGACAATAAATAAAATTTAAATAATCATTAATAAATAAACAATAAAACAAATTTCTTTTAAAAATCAACCAATTAAAATTAAAACTTTAAAGACTTATTTTGAAAAATTAAATGTGATAAAAATATATTGAGTGGATTCTCTCATTTTCAGAGTTTCTTACTCTTTGTGTGTGTAACACAACCATCCTTATCTGCATTAACTCTCTTTACATTCCACATGACACACTTTTGCAAATTTAGCACCACAAGCTCTTTGTAAATTTCAATTCTCATTTTTGAATCAATACCAAAATTCTGGCTCTCACCTTTCGAGGTTGTTACCTAAATTTCGACTCTCTCCTTTAGATTGATACCTAAATTTCAATTCTCACATTTTTGAATCAGTACCTAGATTCTGGTTCTCACCATTCGAGGTCGATACCTAAATTTCGACTCTCTTCTCGGAATTGATACCTAAAATTCAATTCTCATTTTCGGATTGATACTTAAATTCTTATTCTTACAATTTGAGGTCGTTACCTAAATTTCGACTCTCTCCTTGAGATTGATACCTAAATTTTAACTCTCACATTTTTGAGTCAGTACCTAAATTCTGGTTCTCACCTTTCAAGGTAGTTGGTACCTAAATTCTGGTTCTCACCTTTCGAGGGCGATACCTAAATTTTGACCCTCTCCTTGAGATTGATACCTAAATTTCAAATCTCATTTTTGGATCAGTGCCTAAATTTTGATTCTCATCTTTTGAAGTCAGTACCTAAATTCCGACCCTTCCTTTCTTTTCAGAATTGACACTTAAATTTCAATTCCCACCTCGGGGTCAACACTTGCATATTGATTCTCATCCTCTAGAAATCTCTAAAATTTCATAACTCAAAATCCACTCTCCAATCCCCAGTGAGAGTCCCTACTTCTTGACTTGATCAAATATGCACCTGCCAGTATCCCCGACGGAAATAAAAAAAAAAAACACACACACACAACTCTACAAATGCTTCTGGGTCTGTTGACTTAAGAGTTTATATTAGTTTTTGTGTATCTAGTCAGTCAATGCCAATACACGTAGTGTGCTTGCCAGCACACCACACCTATTGAGGGTCCATTTGTTGACCTCACTTTTAGTTGAGGTTTAGTTTTCCCTGTTTTGTAGCCTAAGGTCTAGCCATAGGACTTTCCTATTGACTATTCTTAGAAAATAAGACATGGAGCCCTCACCATTAGTAATTTTAAACTTTGCTTTACTCAACTTGAAGTTCCACATATTGGTCCTAACCTCTAGCACTTAGTAAGTGGGGTCATTATGGGGGAACTCAAGATGAGTTACCCTTAGGACTATTGGACCTTAGGGTTGACCCTTTGTGTTGGTCTAGGGCTAAGACACTTATTTGCACTCACAATCACTCATTACCCCAAACCTAGAACTTCTAGAATTTGGTCCCTTGATACTTTCGGGAGACTCCTGTAGGTGGTTCCCTAAACTCATTAGCCTCAGGCTAGGGTTTGGTTAAGACCACTACATAGAGAACCCAAAATGGGATTTCTATTGGTCTATGACTAATTTATGGGGGTTTGCAATCCAACTCTATCAAGATACCCAACCTACCCTATTGCCCCCAAATTCCCCGAACTACCTAAATTACCCAAAATCCCCAAATTGGCCAAATTACCAAAATACCCCTCTTGGGCACAAAATTCCAAAAATTCCAAAAAATCCCAAAATTTTTCAAATCTCCCAAATATTCCCAATTTCATTTTCTTCAACTACCACATTACTCAATTTGGCCAATTTGACTATCATTGATCAAAACCCCCAAATTTCCCTTTAAAGGCTAAATTTCCCTAAATTCAACTCAAATGTCCATAAATTTGATCTCAATTGACCCCAATTTCAATATTAAACTCAAATTCACTTTTTATATGGCTAATGAAGACCAAATCTAAGCCCAATTGATCCATGATTTGAGCCAAATTTTACTATAGGTCAAACCCCCAATTTTGGTCACATGACCTAATCTCACCAAATTGAACCCATAGCCTAGTAAATTGGCCCCAATTAATGTTGAAAAATATTTATAACATTCCTACACATCAAAATCAACCATAAATTAGCCTTGTTGAAGCCTCAAATCGATTTGATTTTGGGCTAGATCCAAAATTCCCAAATTAGCCCCAAATTGGCTAAGTCCCCAAATATCACCCAATTGATTGCCTTAACCTCCAAATTGGCACCCAATTCAAGTTGAAAAATCTTCATAGGGTCCATATTGACCATTTACAACAATAAATTTTGACCAATCAATTTGGAATTATCCCCAGGCTATTCCAAGCTAGACCCAAGCCTAGCCCAACATAACCAAATTGATTAAAATTCAAAATTCCCTCAAATTGTCCCTTCAACTGAGTCCAAAACCACTTCCACCCTTCACCAAAGTTGTTCATTATGATCATCTATACCAAATGCAACATTTATTTGGGCCAATTGACATGGATAGCCTAGAAAAAACCCAAGACTTTGTCATTTTCACCCACTTGGACTCATGCACTAAATGTGACCCAACCACCCTAAAGCAACCAAGTTAGCTCCACCCCAACCATTAGTTAACCCCTAAGACTGAGGCAAAACTCATCTAACCACCTAAAATAAGCCATGGACCAAAGGTCCCCAAAATTAAGGGATCTTATTCCCAAAAATACGCATGGCATGCTTAAGATATCCTTGTCAAAACACATTTGCATTAAATTGTTGTGATAGATTCCT